GAAATTTATATGTGACATTTAAAAAAGTAAATTATTAGTAATAGTCTGCATATGAATATATAATTTTAATATTTGAACTGTGGATTTTAATACTTGAATTGTTAATGTAAGTGTATTTATAGAAATTTTATATACAGAAGCTGGCACTACAGACTTTGGAAAATCAATTTATTATGAATATCTATAAACATTTTTAGTAATGTTATCAGAATATTATAAAGTTAACATAATGTTCAGATAATTTGTTATCATATGGGAAATACAATAGATTCTTCACATTATTTGAAAAAACAATTTAATATGGCTTAAGTACAGTAATATAAAAGAAAATTATTAAACTCTTTGTAAGAGAACAGAGTATCTTTACAACCTTATACTAGGGAAGAGTTTCTTAAACAGAATTTCTGATATTTAAAGGAATGATAGATATTCTTATTGGTCAAAAAGACACCATAAAGAAGGTAAAAACCAAGTCATGAACTAGAATACCACTGCAAAACTACAAGCCAAAGGTACGTATCCAGAAGATTTAGCAGAGACTCCAAAAGTAAATCCTACTTGTAGGAATTATACTCTAGAGTTATCCTAACACATATACACCTTTTTTTAAAATATTTTTTTAGTTGTCAATGGGCCTTTATTTTATTTTATTTATTTATATGCATTTCTGAGAATCAATTCCAGTTCCTCACACATGCTAGGGCAAGTGCTCTGCCACTGAAGCACAACCCCAGCCCATACATATTCACTTTTAAAGGCACACAGAACTGTTCATAGCAGCACCATTAGTATGGGGAGTGGGGAGGGGGTGTCTGTCAAGAGTAGAATATTAAATAAAAATTGGCATATGCACACAGTAGAATACCACCCAGCAGCAAGAAAATGAACTAAACAGATTTATGAAAAAATACCCAAAACATAATCTTGGGTTTAAAAAAGTGATAGACTGGGTTCAGTCGTGTACAACTGTAATCCTAGTGACTTAAGAGGCCAAGGCAGGAGGATCACAAGTTCAAGGCCAGCCTTAGCAACTTAGGAAGGCCCTGTCTCAAAATTTAAAAAAAAAAAAAAAAAGTGCTGGGCACAGTGATCCATGCCTGTGATCCCAGCAGCTCAGGTGGCTGAGGTAAGAGGATCGCAAGTCCAAAGCCAGCCTCAGCAACATAGCAAGGCCCTAAGCAAGTGAGCAAGACCCTGTCTCAAAATAAAATATAAAAAGGGCTGGGGATGTGGCTCAGTGGTTCAATGACCCTGAGTTCAGTCCCAGGTACCAAAAATAAAAAGGGTTAGGTGTACAGCTCAGTGGTGAAGTGGCCTTGGGTTCAATCCCCAGTACCAAAAAAAATGAAATAAAACAGAAGTGACAGAATACACAGAACATCATTTCACAAAATTTCAAACACATGCAAATGTAAACTATTTGGAGAGCTATGGGAAGGTAAGTATAAAGAGAAAATCAGAATGAGTAACACTAAGTTCAAATTATAGTTATCTTTGTGGAAAAAAGAATAGGACTGATTGGGAAAGTACATATAACAGGCTTCAATGGAATTGAATTTCTTAACCTGGTTATCAACCAGGTACAGATCTGTACAGTATAATAATTTTATCCACTAAACTCCACTTATGTTTATATGTATATTTGTGTGTAGAATTTTAAGGTAGTGTGTTCAAAATGAAATGGGGAGAAAATAATATCAGAGCTGAAGAATTATTTTAGTGAGTTCAAGCCAAAAAATACGGTTAAAACACAAGAGTTACAAGAGTACAGAAGAATAAGAAACCCAGAGAATACATTTAAAAGAACTTGATGAAGATAAAACTAGAAAATAATTAAACAGAAAATTTAAAAGCACAAATAGGACACACAACCAGTTATAAATAAGTGACCATTCTTGTCATAGAAAATACTAAAAGTAAAACTTGTGTTTACAGAGTAAGTGAAGCACACATTTATTTCTCATCACACTACAAAAGGCAAAAAAAACAGCAATGAGAACAAAAGCAAATGAGAGAGAGATACTACAATGATTTTGAAAATTTGAGGAATTCTGATACCAAAAGGCACATGAATGACACAGGAGAGGCAATTCACTGTGTAAAACCCAAGTTCCAGCTGGGCATGATGGCACACACCTGTAATTCCAGCAACTCAGGAGCCTGAGACAGGAGGATCCCAATTTCAAAGCTAGCCTCATCAAGGCCCTCAGGAACTGAGACCCAGTCTCAAAACTTAAAAAAAAAAAAATGGAATGGGGTGTGGCTGAGTGGTAAAGCATTCCTGGGTTAAAACCCCAGTACCAAAAAACAAACAAACCCAAGGCCCAGAATCCACAGAAAGGGCAGTTGGTGACATGTGCCTCTGGTTGAAAGTATATACACAAACTTGTACTCCAGCCTTTCCCACTTTATTTTGCCTCCTTGTTTTGATCTCTGGATAAACTGATCTTAACAGGATATGGCGGATACCCAAAGAAGGGCCAATTAAGGCACAGTTAGACAACAAACCACACTCAGAAGCCTTCTGGGGCTTCTTTTCCCAGATACCAGCAACTCAAAACTTAGCCCACAAAGGTGGAAGTCCTCTCAAGAAAAATTAAATGGCAAAGGGATTTGACCTCAGTGGATCTTGCAAAGAAAAGGCTAGAGCAGGACTCTTGTCAATTGACAAGCACTAACCAATGATTAGAAGGAAAGACTACCTTGTATTTGAGAAAAATTCCAATATGAAAGGAACAGAGTAAGTCAAATAGGGACACGGAATTTGGTCATAAGAGAGTATACATGGAGCCATGAGAACTCCAAATAAATAATAATGAACGTAATTACAAATCAGTAATTCATATGGTTATGAATCAGACAGTAAACATACTACATAATATTTTAAAATACATAATTATATAAGGAAAAATACTGTATCCAAACAGAACAGATTGCTATGAAGATGAAAAAAATAAAAACCAGGAAAGAGTTCTAGGAAATTAACAATATAAATAATTTAAAATTTAAATACTATTGGAAGATAAAGTTAACAAAATTTCAAAAAAATAATTCTTGAGTTAAATAAAGAGATAAAAGAGAAAATAGGAGAGGGCCTGGGGTTGTGGCTCAGTGGCACAGTGCTCGCCTGGCATGCATGAGGCACTAGGTTCAATCCTCAGCACCACATTAAAAAAAATAATAATAATGTGTCCACCTAAAACTAAAGATACATAAATAAATAAATATTTTTTAAAAAGAGAGAAGATAGGAGAAAAACATTTAGAGGCGCAACCCACGAAAAATTTCTATCAAATAATATACATTTCAGCAAGAAAGAGGAAGGAAGGAGGAAGGAAAATTCACAGAAAATTTAACAGCTCATAAATACAATAGTTTCTAGACTAAAAGTGCTTGCCTGGTATCCACATAAAAAACTTGAAAAAGATCCACACCCAGACACAAAATTATGAAATTTCAGTACACTGGGAATATAATTTAACATTTCCAGGAGGGTTGGGAACACAAGATTACACACAAATAGGGAACAGATGACAAGAGTCTTTTTATAAACATCAGCTACAAGATTATGAAGTAATACCTTTAAATTCTGATTTGTAGAATTCTCACTCCAACAAAAACTATCAGTGCAATAAAGATATTTTCAGACAACTTTCAACTTAAAATATTTACATCAAAAGCCTGCATTTTAGGAGAGCTGTTGTAGAGAGGCAGTCAGTAGTAATGAGAAATATGTAAAATTAGCAACAGTTAGGACACAGAAATCCAAATCAGGAAAAGGGACAAATGAAGCCTTAAAGCAATTCTACAATCCAGGTAGGCTATGATAAGGACTGTGAAAGAGATTCTGCAAGAACAAAAAAGTTATGGGATAAGATTTGAGCTTTCAGAAAAATTATCGCTGAGTCTTACATATTTGTTGTAATACCTGGAAAGGGACAGTAAGAGGAACACACACACACACACACAAAAAAAAAAAAAAAAAAAAAACCCACCATATACATACAAGCCAATTAAATCCAGGTCAAGCGAAAAATTGTGAAAATATAATTGGCTCTAAGGCCAAAAAAAAAAATGTAATCAGTTTATAAACATCAACTATTGCTTTAACCAATACCTGTAATATAGCTGTATTTCAAAGTGGGTCTGGGAAAGAGAAGGTTCAAATTTCTTGTTTTAAATGAAGTCTTAAGTTTTTTCACCATTAAACATGACGTCTTTTATTTTAACCACTAAAATGACTTAACTAAAGAGTTAAGATTTCTTATTATCTATGAGTGACTTAGGAACTTGTCGGATTCATCTAAGATTTCATATTCAAGGAAGAAACAGTGAAACACTTGTTTCTACAGAATCCTGCTTATTTCACCATTTTGGTATCCTAACACCTTGACTGTGATGACAGACCTTACTTCCTCCTTTCCAATTTTGCTTCAAATTATTTTATTTCTCTAACTGCCAGAGTCCTGAAGGCAACCTAACCAACATGGAGTTCATCAGAACGCCACACCCAGCTTCTTATAGTTACACAGTAATCCACAAGCACAGTCCCCCTGGAAAACAACCAGAAGTGCAGGCTATCAAAACCATCCCCAGGCATTCACAGATAAATATAGCCTCAGGCATGCGTCAAACCAAGCCATAACCGCAGACTCTACATCTGCGTCAGAATTGAGCTTAACTGCGCAACATTCTCTGCGCAGTCATTGCAGTGCATCATTCAAACAATCATACGCAAGAACAGCCCCACGCACAGGGGGGGAAACAAAAAAAGCAACGCAGTCCAGTCTTTACGCACTCGGTTTGGTACACTATTTAACACCCTGTCTCACTAAATAATCTTGGCACCCCACAACGCTGGGGTGGGCCTCACCACCAGGATTGAGGCAGAGAACCCTCAGTCCCGTGGGAGGCGTGGGAGGCGCGGGAAGGGCGAGCATTCGCTTTTGCGCGTGTGCGTCCACGTTGCACCAACATTCCCGGCAGCCTCTGCGGCACGGCCCTGGAGAACCTGGATGCGGAGCCTATGACTGAAGAATAGCCTTGGTCTACGACTTTTCTCGGCCTTGAACTACATTTCCCAGAGGCTTCGGGCCCCTATTATATTCTGCAGCATCAGTCACGAGTTGATCTTGCAGGTCTGAGTCAGCCTGCCTGCGTCTTCGGTCGTCAGCCGCCCTCTCGCTGCGCTGAGGAGGCTCTGAAAAGGCTCCGGTCTTGGACCTGCACTGAGACTCGCATGTTGCGTACCTCCGGAACCGCTATCCTGGAGTCCTCCACCGTTTACGATGGTGAGCCCCGCATCTCTACGGCCGTGGATTTTCTGAGAGGAATGAGTACGGGCAGGGGCAGGTCGAGTCTGTTGACTGGGAACGAGGAGGGAGGGCTCAGGGCTTGGCTTGGCTTGTGTGGATGGAGCCTGTGGCTACTTTACGTTTCTATTGGTTTCTAACGGATTGGCGCGGATTGGCACGGGTTGGCGCGGGTTGGCGCAGGGTTGAACTCCTGTGGCAGTAATTTGATGCAAGGGCCCTTTTGTGGCGCAGTTCATATCCAAATGCGAGATTGATTCCTATCCTCTGCTCTGAAATCAGCTGCAGAAAAAATTCCTAAGGGGAAAGTTGAAAGTGGAACCCCAGAATGAAGGTCCTCAACAAAACGTTGGGGCTTGGACTCAGGGCGGGCGGCTGGGGCTGGAAGGGCACGTAGGGACATTCCATGGAAAAGGTTAAGGGCGGTTTTCAGCATGGCTAACCTCTGGAAAAGCAAACAGGCTAGTGTTCCTCTGCGCATGCGTGTGGGAGTCGTGACGGGATGGCGGCAGAGACTGGGTTCAAAAAAGGTCAAATAGCTCACGCATCCATTTTTTCCCCACCCGCTGGGCCTGCCATTTTCAAAAGAAGGCTGGTGAGGAGGAGAGGAGAATCATTGCTGCGTATCTGAAAATTAAATTCAAGGTGAGGTTTTGGTTACTTTTTGTTCCATTAAATCGCATTTTGTTTTTCAGAACATGGAAACGTCTGGAATCCTTCTGAAATGTAATATATCCCTTAATCCTAAGTTTTCCTTCCACAGTGAAATCAGACGTTGGAGGGGTAGATCCCGCTCTTTCTTGGAACCACCATGTCTTTCAGATTAATTGTGTACATATCCGTTTTGCAAATCTTTCAGTTTTTCCTGTTGACTCTGTTATTAAGCATTCATATGTTATAAAAATACAACTCTAGAAAATAATATTAGACCATTATTTTAGACGGTGATTCATTAAAGAAGAAAACATACTCTTAAATATATTCTTAATTTTCTGCACAGGCTTGAATTAGAAAGCAATGTAAGGGGAAGATTTGATGAATTTTAACAGTGACAAAGACTTTGCTTTTGAGACTTTTAGATTTAAGAATTTGGTGGTTTGGGCAGAGGTCTGTTTAAACAAAGGTAGACATCCAACCTACTCTAGCAGCAATCCATAGTGAGGTCTTTTTTTTTTTTTTACTAATCAGGCAGTACAAGTTTGTTTTAGAATACACTTATGTGTAGTATATGTAAGCAGCAGTATGGTATAATGGCTAAGAGTATGGATGGAATACCTTGGGTAACTCCTGGGCAAGAATGCTGGCTAGATAGGTGAGCCTGAGTGGTAGTTTATTCAACCTCTCTTTGCCATAGTTTCTTAACTGTGAAAATGCTAATAATAATAATCGCACCTACCTCATAGAATTATGAGGGTTAGATGAGTTAATAGTGGAAAGTCCTTCTGACTATGTCCGATACATTCTAAATCCTCAGAAAACACTACCTGTTATTCTGATGTAGTGATTCTGGGTCATTCATCCTCAGCTTTCTGTACATCAAGAAAAAAAACAATGTGAAATTATTTTTGTTGGCACTCTTGGGTAAGAAAATGAAGCAAATGTTGAAGTCATATAGAAGAGCATTTTTTTTAAATTTATGTTTCTAGAAAACAACAACCCCTTGAAATGGTATATAGATTGTTGAATATATCCGTTGTGTGTGTGTATGTGTGTGTGTGTGTGTGTGTGTGTGTGTGTGTATATATATATATATATATATATTTATGTATAAAATTTGTTCCTAATGGAAAATGTTAAGTTAATCAAAGTGTTATACAATAGTATGCAGCTAATAAAATTTTTAAAGATACAGTCATAGGAAATGATTTGTATGTAATGTTAAACCATATTAATAATATGAACTGTTTCTCAGGAAATTGTTAAATTACATGAGTCACATTATTCATATTGTAATTTGAAGGATTTTTTCAAGAATTATAACTAAACTGGTTGTTTAATGGAGAAAAGATAAAGCCATTTTTATTCATTTGGTACCAAACACATTAATGTTTCATTTGCATACATTCACTTAACTGTGACTGAAATTTTTGCCTACCTAAATTTTGAACATTCACAGATAATATTAATACGAGAAGTGTCTCATTACATTAATGTGATATAGCAAAAGAATGTTCAAGAAGAGTGAGATGCTTATTTCAGTCCCTTGATTTCCTGGTTATTTGCACCCATATTGTGGACCTGTTTACTCTAGTTGTCTTAATGAGCAAAAAGCATGTAGAAAGAATCACATTAATTAATTCAAAGGAGACAGAGGACTGCAAGTTAGTTGTAGGTTTTATTTTACCTCTGTGCATATGAAAAGGAAACACCAATAATCCTAATTTGATTTGAAAAGCCTTCCAAATATCTAAAACCTTTTTAGATGTTAGAGATGTCAATGCCAGGATAGCAAATAATAGAACAGCCTTTCAAAATTACTTCATGTTTTTGAGATTTCCAATTACTCTCACAAGTTAAGTGTGGTGGCACACACCTGTAATTCCAGTGACTTGGCTGAGACAGGAGGATCACAAGTTCAAGGCCAGCCTGGGCAGCTTATGAGACCCTGTCTCAAAATAAAAGGACTGCAGATGTAGCTCAGTAGTAAAGCACTCCAGGTTCAGTCCCTAGGATAAAAGAAAAAACAAATACTCTCAGATTTTAGCAGTATAATCTCTGAAATCCAAGTATCTTACAAAAACTCTCTAATAAAAACAATTCAAAAGGGATTGGGGTTGTGGCTTAGAGATATAGAGCGCTCGCCTGGCATAATAAAGATAATTGTGTCCACTTTTGACTAAAAAATAAGTTTTTTTTTTTTTTGAGAGAGAATTTTAATATTTTTTAGTTTTCAGCGGACACAACATCTTTGTTTGTATGTGGTGCTGAGGATCGAACCCGGGCCGCACACATGCCAGGCGAGCACGCTACCGCTTGAGCCACATCCCCGGCCCAATAAGTATTTTTTTAAAAAGACAATTCAAATAACAGAGTTTTAATAATAGAAAAAAAAAAGAATAAGGAGCTGGGGTTGTAGCTCAGTGGCAGAGCACTTGCGTTGCACATGTGAGGCCCTGGGTTCGATCCTCAGCACTACATTAAAATAAACAAAATAAAGATATCAAAAAAAAATTTTTTAAATAAGATAGTAATAGCTATAATATTCACATACCCTGTTTCAGACAGGGTAATAAGATTAAGCCTTTATGTTGGGCACTGTGGTACCCCTGGACAAGGAGACTGAGATAGGAAGATTGCAAGCCTTCATTAACTCCTTCTGTGCCATTTTATCACATCAGAAATTTTTTTTTTCCCTGATGCTTGTCTTGCTATGTTGCCCAGGCTGGCCTTGAACTCCTAACCTCAAGCAATCCCCCTGCCTTAGCTTCCTAAGTAGCTGAAACTACAAGAACTCACCACCATGCTGGGATCACATCAGAATTTTTTTTTTTTCCTGGTACCAGGAATTGAACTCAGGGATACTCAACCACTGAGCCACATCCCAAGCCCTATTTTGTATTTTACTTAGAGACAGGGTCTCACTGAGTTGCTTAGCGCCTTGCTTTTGCTAAGGCTGGCTCTGAACTCACAATCCTTCTGTCTTAGCCTCTAAGTTATCTTTTTTCCTGAGAGAACTACATTCTCAGGTTGGGGTTGTGGCTCAGAGGTATAGCACTTGCCTAGCACATTCGAGGCCCTGGGTTTGATCCTCAGCACCACATTAAAAAAAATAATAATAAAACTATTGTATCCAACTAAAAAATATAAAAAAAAACTATATTTTCCAAACTTAGCTCTAAAATTCATATATTAGTATTATTAGTCATGATTGTAAATATAGAAAACCTGAAGTACCAAAAGAACTCTTTTTTTTTTTTTGAGAGGATTTTTAATATTTATTTTTTAGTTATCGGCGGACACAACATCTTTGTTTGTATGTGGTGCTGAGGATCGAACCCTGGCCACACGCATGCCAGGCAAGCGCGCTACCGCTTGAGCCACATCCCCAGCCCCCCAAAAGAACTCTTAGGATTAATAAGTGGGTTTAGCAGGAGCACAGGATACAAGCTCATATATAAAGGTTATCATTTTTCTATATACCAGTAATGAACATTTAAAAGTTAAAGTTTTTAAAATGTACCATTTTCAGCCGGGCACCATGGCCTGTGCTTATAATCCCAGCAGCTTGGGAGGCTGAAGCAGGAGAAATGTTAGTTCAAAGCCAGCCTCAGCAACTTAGTGAGGCCCTAAGCAACTCAGCAAGACCTTATCTTTACATAAAATATTTTTTAAAAAGTATGGGGCTGAGGTTGTGGCTCACAGAGTGCTTGCCTAGAAAGTATGAGGCGCTGGGTTCAATTCTCAGCACATATAAATAAGTAAGAAAATAAGTAAAATAAAAGCCATCAAAAACTAAAAAAAAAAATGTTTTTTTTTAAAAAGGGCTGGGGATGTGGCTCAGTGGTTAAGTGCTCCGTGTTCAATCCCTGGTACCAAAAAAAAAAAGAGTACCATTTTTAATAACTATCCAAAAAGTGAAGTATTCAGAGATAAATCTAACAAAATTAGAAAACTACAAACACTGATGAAAGAAATAAATGTACTCATGTATTCATACATAGATTTTTGTACATGAATTAGAAAATTAATACTAATACAATATCTTCTAATTTGATCTATACATTCAGGTCAGTCCCAACCAAAATGATAGCTTTTTCATAGATATCAACAAGCTGATTCTAAAATTTTATGGAAAGGAAAAAGAACCAAAATAGCTAATATAATTCTAAAAGGATTCTGGGGGCTTCACTTTACTCTATTTCAAGACAATATAAAGCCAAGATAATCAAGTGCTGTAGTTTGGATCTGGTTTGTCCCTCAAGGGCCCCTATGTTAAAGGCTTGGTCAAAGCTTGGCACTATTGGGAAATAGTGGAAACTTAAAAGGTGGGGCCTAATGGGAGGTTTTATGTCATTGGGACTGTGTCCTCAAAGGGGACTGCTGAATCCCCAAACCCTTCCTCCTCCTCTTTTTGCATCCTTCTCATGAGAGAGCAGCTTTGCTCTACCACATGCCCTACCATAATATGCCTCACCAGAGGCCCCCAAACAATGAGTCCAACTGACCATGGACTGAAACCTCCCAAACTGCGAGCCAAAATAAGCATTTTATAAGTCAATTATCTCAGGTATTTTTTATAACAGAAAGCTAAAACATCAACGCAGTGTAGTACAGGTGAGAGAATAATTCCAGATTAAAAGAATAGGCTGGAGCCAGGTGCAGTGGCACATGCCTGTAATCCCAGCAGCTGGGGAAGCTGAGCAGGAGGATCGTAAATTCTAAGCCAGCCTCAGCTCAGCAAAAGCAAGGTACTAAGCAACTCAGTGAGACCCTGTCTCTAAATAAAATACAAAAATAGAGCTGGGGATGTGGCTTAGTGTTTGGGTACCCCTGAGTTCAATCCCAGGTACCAAAAAAAAAAGGTCTGGAGAGCCCAGAAATAGACTCACATGTAATTTTTAACACTGATACAAAGGTAATTCACTGGGGAAAAGACAGTCTTTTCAACAAACGGTGCTACAATAATCGAACATCCATATGCAAAA